GAAGTACCACGCGTGTGTGTGTGTGTGTGTGTGTGTGTGTGTGTGTGTGTGTGTGTGTGTGTGTGTGTGTGTGTGTGTGTGTGTGTGTGTGTGTGTGTGTGTGTGTGTGTGTGTGTGTGTGTGTGTGTGTGTGTGTGTGTGTGTGTGTGTGTGTGTGTGGGTGTGTGTGTGTGTGTGTGTGTGGTGTGTGGTGGGTGTGGGTGTGTGGGTGTGGTGGTGTGTGGTGCGTGGTGGGTGTGGGTGGTGTGTGGTGTGTGGTGGGTGGTGTGGGTGTGTGGGTGTGTGGGTGTGTGTGTGTGTGTGTGCGTGTGCGTGTGCGTGTGCGTGTGCGGGTGCGCGTGCGCGTGCACGTGCGTGTGCGCGTGCGTGTGCGCGTACGCGTGCGTGTGCGTGTGCGTGTGCGTGTGCGTGTGCGTGTGCGTGTGCGTGTGCGTGTGGGTGTGGGTGTGGGTGTGGGTGTGGGTGTGGGTGTGGGTGTGGGTGTGGGTGTGGGTGTGGGTGTGGGTGTGGGTGTGGGTGTGGGTGTCTGTGTGGGTGTGGGTGTGGGTGTGTGTGTGTGTGACGTGTGTTTTAATGAAATAGAGGATAGCAAGCATGGTGGATTTCCTCTGGCTCTACTTTTCATTGAACCCCAAAAGGGTACCCTCCAAAAACACACACACACACACCCTGATCCTCCTTGGTGTTCTAAAGAAATAAACAGTCTGAAATCACGATACGAGATCATTTCCATCTGCTTCGGGCAAAGGAACTTGTGAGGACCTTGGAATCTCTCCACCTTTTCCCCGGGCTCGGAGTATCCAGTGGCGCGCCGTTCGGAACGGCGCCAGCCTGGCTCGGAGACATCCCCCATAAACCTGCACTGGCTAGGGTGCGTCCGACAAACCCCGTGCTTTCAAAGACGATGGGAAAGCAACCCGGCTTCTTACATACGCATCATTCTTTGGGGGGAGTAGGGTTGGTCCGATACCTGGACTACCAACTACTCATGAAAGAAGAGGCTTTTCTTCATTATGTGTGATTTGCCATCTTTCAGGGGTCCACCTCAAATCTTTGGCTCAGCGGTCCTGTCATCTTTCTCCGTCCGTGGCCATGGCCCCCAGTCTTGGGCCAAGCGCTGAACGGGCGGCATCCATCCCCGTGGTTTTCGAACCGACTGGCTGGAAAGGCACAGGAAAAAATGGGATGCCCAAGACACGTGGGGATCTCCACCGTTTTTGGACCCAAGTATTCAAGGGACACGGGGGAGCAAGGAGCTACTGTTCAGCGCGGTTTGAGGGTTCGGGTACCTGGGACTGGGCCGCGTAAGAGAAAGCAGAAAGCCGCGCCCAAAACCCGTTGAGCATGGCATGGGAGCATGGTTGTAAAAGCTTCCAGGCTTTCCGGTAAAGCCGTAACGCAAAGAAAAAAAAAGAGTAGTAGGCAAACACGGGATAACCCAAAATGGGTCTCCAAGGATATGAACATGGGCAGCGGCCTCCTATTTGTATCCGAAAACCCCAACAACGGGCCGTTCCAAACGCCCAAATGGCCCCCTCAAAGCTCTCGGCGATGCGGACCCGCCAACCGCGCATTTGTGGATAAAAACCCCCTTCAAGTGACAACTTCCGAAATTGCAATGTGATCCCAGGGCAACTACAGGACCTTGTCGCCCTGAGGGAAGTTAGGGAAGCTGCTGTCCGGCGATTTGGTGGCCTGCAGTTTCAGTGGAGACTAATCTGAAGCGGAACAAAACGGTTTGGTTGGGGTCATCGCGATTTATGTCATCCAGCCACTAGTTTTGGAAAAACAATTGGCTCTGGGAAATGACTGGAACCAAACTTACACCACACGGCCGTCCATGTTCACCCATCGGTTCCGTATTATATTGCATAGGCATCTAGTTCCTTGTCTCCCACACCTGGCCACTTAAGTGAGGAAATTGGAGCCATAGAATCGGTGGTGAAAGCCACTTGCCTAAAGCTAGTAAAATGTGAACATGGTTACCATGAGTGTATCGAGCTGGTACCCTGGTTGGGTAGGCAAACCAAATGGCAATCCCGACAAATTTGTTCGGGGTTACTCATTCAAAGACAAACCCATATGGCCGATATGGGTGTTTCTTAAAAGCTGGGACCCCGGCCAGCTTGTTCTCATGGCTTCCAATCACACCATCCAAAAGGGTTTCTCGCTTTGAGACAAAACCGTATGGATACTAGTTTCATGCATGTCCTGTACATGGGGAGTTCTGTCCACCGACCATGTTCGAGGCTGTTCCCTTCCTGACTCGCCCAAACAAATCTGAATGTTTTGCATACCGTGCAATTGGCCTTCCGATAAAGTATAAACTTAGCCCAAGTCTGGGGTTCACAGAACAACACATACTTTCAGATTCTGTCTCATAATCAGTCAACCCTTTGTGTATGCAAGCTAACCAAACGGCACCACACACGAGCACGCGATAACTCTTTCATCCGAGCAGTGTGTTGGTGCCAGGGACTCATCTTCCCCTGTCAGATGACTAACGCTGGGTGGGCCCCATGGGCCACCCAACTCACAATTCTCAAAAACTGAAGAACGGGTGTGCAGACTGATAGCGCCCGCCCCTGAGCCGGGGCCCGTGGCACCCAGGCCACAGGGGGGTCTGCCACCAGGGGAAGTGAGTCACCCACCGGCTCCGGTCACGGGAGCATGGGTGGGCCCACGCTGAGATCGAATGCATCTCCATTCAGGAGACGCGGGAGAAAAACAAACTCCTCACAGAGTTCCTGCTTGGGGACCCTTTGCAAAGGGTCAAACCCAGAGAAATCTGGGTGCGTCAGCTCATTAGCCCATTGGTTGAATTCACGGGGCACATGGTTGGCCGCCAGCGAGCAGCCATGGGTGTGGAGCAGGAAGACCAGCTCCATCAGGATCGCCGCCGTGTAGGGCTTCTTGGAGCCAAGGTTGAGCATCGCCATGACGTTGCCCTGATTGTCACTGCCCACCGGGAGTCGGACCCGGGAGGACAGAGGGCCTTGGTGCGTGAGGATCATGTTGCAGAGGAAGAGCGTGCCCAGCATTTGCAGAGCTGCAATCCTCCGCTTTGGATCCCCATTCTTGAAAGCCCAAGGGTACTCCTCCACGTGGATCTGCTCATGGAACCAGTACACCTCCTTCTTGTCCGGTTCCACCGTGTTGGAGCACCAACCTCCCACAAATGCCAGTCCGTCGTCCGAGGCGCTAGCGTCGCTGCAACCCCACCAAGAGGACTTCGGCAAGTAGGGGGAGTACTGGACGAAAGGCGTGTTGAAGAGGAACCGCAGCATGAACGCCAGCATCCTGACCACCTTAGGGGGTTTCCCCACCGTGGTGGTGGCCATCTTCCAGGCCCAAAGTGGCTGGAGCATCGATTTCGCCAGCGGACATGCGGCCGTTGCCCATTGGATGCGGCCCAGGGCCTTCTCGATGTCCTTCGAGTGCATCGCCTGCCCTTCCACCATGGTCTGTAAAACCTCCATAACCAGGATGTGTTTGTTGGCCGCCATGAGAACCTGCGGGATGTTCGGGTGGACCACGAAGCCCAGCCACGTGTTAACCTCCGCCAAGTGCGTCTTCTTCCAGCTAAGTGGGGTGCCCAATGCCAGGAGTGTGGCCAGCAGCGCCACCGCCAAGTTCACTGCCCCCTCGCTTCGAAGCAGCCACAGGAAGTCGTCGACGAAGACGAAGTTCCAATCCACTTGGGGGAAAAGCGCGTAGAGGACCCTGAGCAGAAGGGCTGCCAGGCGTCCCCAGTAGGATTGGGCACTGGCCATGCCATATGTGCCTACCTTGTTCACCCACCATTCTTCCCCCAGTGAGGCCACCTGGAACCGCCAGTCCTTCCTGAGGACCTTCACTCTCCGGTGGGCCTTGGTGACGTCCGCCTTGAGCAGCACCCACCTGGTGCCCGGCTCCGGCCATAACCAGCCCCCAGGTGGAGGTTTGACGATCCCCCCCTCGGGGCCAGAGGCACCCTGAGAGGGGGGTCCCTCCTCGGCTGCCGCATGTAGCTAATGGAGAGCTTGGACCCCATCCAACACCGTCGGAGCCGTCGTCCTCTCCACCGTCTGGTTCCTGATGGTGTCATTGGCCCCTCCCACCGAGCCATCGTAGATCGTGCGGATCTTGTCCCCCTCGTCGATGCCCGCCAGGGGGCCGGGGCAAAGGTCCTCGCTGTCGCAGCCACATCGTGATGCGGCCGCCTCCTTACTGAAGGGGCCCTCCACCATGCCCATGGGGACCTCCTCCAGAAATGTGCCCCGGATGAGCTCGCTGAAGTGATCCGCCGAGGGGTAGTTACCTTCCGTTCGTTGGGTTTCCTGGAATTCCGGTTCCTCCCCTTTCAGCTCCTTCTTGAGTGGCCAGATGCCCGGCGAGGTCAGGGGTGGGTCCGTGACCCCCAGCGGGACCCCTTGCTCCAGGTCCCGGGGAAACTGGTGGTCGGGGTCCTGAATGTTCAGAGCCACGCTGTGCAAGATGTCTGGTCGGCCTGCCCCCGGCGCCAGAATCTCCCTGATGTCCTCCAGCAGGTCCTCCGGGAAGGGATGTGACCCATCCCCCAACGAGAGCGACTCCTGGAGCTTGTCCCCCCACGGCGAAGTGAGGACACATATCTTGGCCCCCAGCGCTGCTGCTCCACCGTCTCTTAAGGGACGCTGCTTGAAAGCCATCTGGAGGTACATGACCTTGTCGGAGATGTTGGGGTCGTGAGTGATCGGCAGGATGGTAGGCCGATCCGAAATCTCCATGCCCTGGTGCGCCCATGGATCCAGGGGAACAGTCCTCTGTGTCGATGTCCCAGCCTCTGGAGTATCCGAGGCCGAGACCGGAAGTGAGCCCAGGGTCAGAGGTTTGGGGAACCACCTGAGGATGCTCCACGTCCTGCAGTTGGGGCCACCTCCCACCAATGCGACCTTGCCCGCCATGGCCATGGAGCACGTCGTCGAGTAAGGCTCCTTGCCCAGCATGTCCTGGCCCAGGTCTCCACCCTTTCTCCTGATATCTACCGCCCAAATGTACTCCGAGAAGGCCGGGTTGTAGGCATGGAGGTAGGCATCCAGGGCCCCCGCATCATCCTTCCCAGCATACAGCAGGATGAGGGACGGCTTTGAAGACCCCGGCACTGGCCTCGGCGTCCAACCCAGTCTGAGCCTCAGTCTTTCCGGGATGTCCTGCATCCATGGGAAGGTGGGGCTTGCCCCCCCTAAAAATTCCGTGTGACCTTTGTCTGATCCCCCCGTCATCTGTCCCCGGGCTTGATGCTTGCCCTGGGGTTCTTCCCGCCCTTGGAACGCCCCTTGCTGGGCGGATCCTCACCTCTGGGTCTCTCTGGGGGGTCTTCCCACTGCCTTGGTGGGTGCGGGGGAAAGGGATGCTTCCGCCCTTCTGGAGTGCCCTGGCTGGGACCCCTCTTCTTCGGTGGAGGGGCTTCCGGGGCCGGTGGCACCCTGGAGAAGTCCGCCCCCATCTGAGGCCGTCCTGGCCTCCCCCGCTCTGTCTGCCTTCCGCTGCTCTGATAAGGGCTCTCCCCCTCTGTGTGCACTCTCGCACTGGTGGCCTGTGATCCCAACTGAGACTGGGAAGCCACGGGGCCTATGGCACCCTGGGTGGCCTCCTGTCACTTGGGAAGGTGAGGGCATGCCTGTGGCGCATGCTTCATCCTCCCTGTCCCAGCCGTCCACCGTGATCTTCTTGTGGGTGGATGAGGGGCGTTCCCCTTCTTCCGGGAGCGCGCTCACGATGTGTTTTGCCGGGATGTAGCCCAGCTCACCCTTGGCAATCAAACGCCACTGCTTCTTGAGGTAGCCATCACTCCCTTGGAACTCCAACCTCGGCTTCGGGGTTCTATGAGTGGCCACGTAAGCATCCTCCAGCTGGCGCCTGTCACACAGGACCTCCAGGGGCGCCTTTGTCGGGCCCGCCTGGCCCGCTGGGTGATCCCCTTGGTTGCCCCCCCGGACCAAGCTGGCTGCCACCCGGACTGCCTGAAGGAGGCGCATCGCCGTGAAGGCCGAGGTCTGGACATTGAACCCGTTCTCCCCATCCCGGAATCCCAGGTCCCGCCGCCAGGTCTTCCACCGTGACGTATCCCGATGCGCCCAAAGCTGCCTGGGATGGCC